GCGATTATAGTTATAAATCTTTATCGTTTTTTAATTTTAAGAAATAAATTTTATTACAAAAAAAAATGAAATTTGATTGAAATTGTATTTTTGTTGTTGTTTCCGTTCGCAAATTCATTGAGGGTGGCAGACGGGTTTTTTCGAAAGTCAGGATAGGGTCGGATTAAAAAAAAAGATTTAAAAAAAATAACCGTTTTCTCACGTTCGCAAAAACGTGTCTGCCGCCATCTATTTTATTTACGTTTCTCGTCAAAGTATTGCGCATATAAACAGAAGCGAAGAAGTTCACCTGCGCTTGGGAAGGATGGCCGATTTCGAAAACGGAATATGCGGTTTTTTCGGAAACTTCGGCTTGTGCGTGTTCACATACTTCCTGCCGTGTTACACGCAAGGAAAACTCGCGGAATCACTAGGAGACGACTGCCTTCTCTGCGGTTTGGCTCTCATGGTACCGCTGGTGAACATTTTTGCTCGTATGATCACTCGGCAGAACGTCAGGGAAAACAAAGGGATCGAAGGGTGTGGAATAGGCGATCTCTTTGCCGTGTGTTGCTGCGGTTTCTGCGCTCTGGTACAGGAAGCCATGGAGATGCAGATTCAGACACCGCTCGGAGCCGGAGAATCGATGGGGCGTGCATAGGTGTTTGCAAATAAAAAAAAATCATCTAAAAATATATATACTTGCAAAACTTTCTTTTATTACATACGTTAAAAATAAACATTTTTTACGTACAACAATTTTCCAACTTGTATACGAAACTTTTTTTTTATTCTCGACATTAACATAACGTCGAGAGAGTATCGCAGACAGGATGACCGCCAAAGCATTCGAGGGAAACGTGCATCGGCGTCGCATGGTCTTCGAGATCAACGAACGCTGCTTCGACGCCGTGGACGACGTCGCGAGGGACGTGTGTCCTTCGAAGAAAGCGGACGACTACGACGTGAAGATAGAAGTGCATCCCGGCTGCCAACTTTCGAGGGCCCAGTTCCTCGTCGAGACGAACGCCTCTCGCAGTCTTTGGAGATTCGACAAGGTCACCGTGAAGCTGAACGTGAACACGTCCGAGCCGTTTCTGTACGGTTGGCGGTTGATGGTGCTGGACGAGAAAACTCGAGCCCTGACCCCCGCCTTCTGCAGGAAAGTGCCTGTCACTTGGGCGGGCGTGGCCGATGTCACGCGTCGAAAGGTCACCGCGGAGGAGACGGTCGACAAAGGCGTGAGGACGGCATGGAAGGACGACTATCACGGAGCGTTGACCAACGACGCGAGGTGCGACGAGGCTCGACCGGACATGATGGGCAAGACGAAGAGTTCGAACGTTCGGACGGCGTTCGGTTCGCCCCTGGTGAA